CAGATGACAATGTAGATGCCTGACAAACGTTGTTGTTGTTGTGATCATAAACTGTATGGATGTGATTACACGCAACACACGGAGCAGCTTTTCCCTCACCATTGTAACGCGCTGCTTTCGCAAGGTTCCGTGAAAACGTTTCACTTTTAGTCAGCTTTGACAAAACTCCTCTCAGCTAGCACTTCTTTTCAAAGTGAAAGTAGCCTTGTCACCTGACCTGAATACAGCGCGCTGATTCGCTAAAATGGACTTATCGGCTTCTGTTCAAAAACAACAAGGGCGCTTGTCGGCTTCTGCAGTAAAACGCGTTTATCGGTTTTTGCAAATGAACTCTTCATACATATATATATACATATATATATATATATATGTATATATATATATTAATCACGATTAATCGCATAGTTATGAACAAAATTCAATAATGCATTAAAAATTAGCGTATTGTACACTTTTCTCATTTAAAAGTACTGCTATATGAACAAAACTGCAATAACATTTGGTTTGCAAACACTTTAAACAAATAAGTATTCCTTTTACACAGTAGTAGTTAAAATATTTCTTGTAAATCTCAATTTATAACATTAATGTAATCAAATTAAATATAAAACCAAAGCTATTTGTCACTGCCAGGGCTTTAACGTTTTTATAGAAAATATTTTATAGTTTGTTACAGAAAAACAAGTTTTGCTCAGAGTCCAGAGCCTCGATCATAACATTATAATAGGCATCTTCCGAGTAGAGACCTGCACTACCGCGGGACCCAATGCAACAGAGTGTGGCGCGGAACAACACTTGAACAACACTTGCGGGCAGGTAGAGACTGTGCGGGATGCGTGAGACTAAGGTGTACTCACACTCGGCAATCTTAACGGGCGCGGTTCGTTTAGCTGTCCCTGGCTCTGTTGGATGAGGTGGGCCAGAGCGCGAGGTGGTGTAGGGGATGTGCCCGAAGCGTGAATCCATATGCAGAAAGGCACGGAAAACAAATAACACGTTCTATGGAGCCACTAATGGGACATGGTTAGCCACTTGCTAGCGGTAGACTGTTACATTATAGAACATGAAAGTTTACTTACCACATACACAGAGTAAGGAGAGATGACTGATAGGACAATGGAGAATGATTTGCAGATACTGAGCACCACTGACAAATATCTAATGTGTGGTAGCGGCAGTACCTACCATTGAACTCCGTAGTATAGAGTCAGTGTGATTGCGAATCTCGAAAGTGAAAGTGAAAGTAAAATGAGAGCACGCATTCGAAAGCGGTTTCAATGCCCTGCATATTAGTAGCGGCTCCCTGATGCCCGCAATTTATATACAGTATAATTACTCAACAATATAATTGGGAGAGAAAGTATTGAAATGTATATATTTTTATCCTCCCATCTCGTAGGCTATTTATTCCCTTTAGGGGTTCTGTAGTACACTTCATTTCATTTCCGAACACGGAATTGGGATGCGGCGGATTGCGGGGGGTATGGGGGATCACGATCACGCATCGTCTATCGGCCCAACCCTAAAAACTCCACTGTGCTGAGCGAGAGCGCTTCTCTGCTATCGAAACTTTCTATTTCCCACTTATGAAATTGTGAGCGCTTCATGTGAGTGCTGCTGCAGTCTTAGCTTGTCTGTATGTGTATTCAGAGCCAGTGAGCAATGGACTATCAAAAAAAAAAAAAAAATTAAAAAAACCCGCTGCGTTAATGTGTGATAAAATAATTGTCTGCGTTAATCAATTAATGCATTAACGCGATAATAACGCATTAACTTGCCCAGCCCTAATATATATATAAGTGCTGCCAAACGATTAATCGCGATGAATCGCTTACAAAAGTTTTCATTTGCATAATATATGCGTGTGTTCTGTGTATATTTATTATGTATATATATATATATATATAATTTTTTCAATTATAAACATGTAAATATAGTAACTAATTTCATATAAATTTTAATTCATATTAAAAATAATCATGCTGTCTATAAGTTAATGGTCATCAATGAAGGTAACTACGAGTACTGATCCTGACCCCGATGAAGGTTACAACATTTTTGCAAAAACCGATGCATTTATTTGATAGTAATCAGCAATAATTTGACACATAATTTAATAAATGTACACGATATTGTAAATTTCTGAGGCCATAAAAAGCTGTCAGGGGCCCAGTGAATTAAAACATTGAAAACGTGTGTGAATAACATACTGTCCATTTGGCTCTGTTTATCTGGCCTCTTTCCGGCAGGGGAGCCACAATCCTTCCACAAACATGGCAGGGAATCAATCCAACCCGACATACAACAAGCTCTTTAACATCCCGCGCTCCCAATGTGGCTTTAACACACACACATTTGCTGTGTTTGCTGAGGGAAAAAAAAAAACTCACCCACTCTTCCTCCTTCTCCCTCTCTTCCTTTTCCTCTCATTTAGAGCAGTCATGATGGAGTCGGACTAACAAGCACCATGTGGCAGCCAAATGTTTAAACGACATAATAGGAACATCATTACAACATCTGGCTGCACTGCTTTTCTCAAAGGCCTCATGACATCTCTGTGAAGACCCTACTATGTCTTACACCCTCAGAACACCCATAATGCTGTCTCTCAAAGCCCAAATTACAGCCACATGAAAGCAAACACATCTCGGTCGTTGTTTAACAGCTCACTTCTAGCCAGTTTTACATTATTAGCATAGAAAGACGAATAGATAGAGAGAGCGCTGCAGATAAAAATAGATAATTTAATATTTACCTTTTCGCAAAACGACAAAACAATCCTTCAGAAATGGCTGGTGTTGATACCTACATCTGTGTGCGCAAGTCCTGCCTGCAACAGGAACCTCCAACAAGCTTTCAGTTCACTCCCCCCTGAGTCATGACAGTCTCTTACAGTCTTACAAGCCCTACTTCTGCTTTAAAACAGCCCTAAAGTCAGGAAACCACCCAGAGAGAGAGAGAGGAAGAGAGGAGGAGAGGGGTGGATATGGAAAGAGAGCCATGTAAGGGGTGTGGTAAATTTGTATATGGGTAAACCTACAGCTTGTAAATGACATCGGATTTCTATATTCAATTGATTACTTGCCTTGTAAACTAGAAAATTGTCTCTGTATGTAACAGGTAGAAGAGTTAATCTAGAATATATAATAATAGATATTCAGAGACGATCTGGAGAGATTTCCTCTTTCGGTCTAAACAAAGTGAGGCTGAGAGACACAAAGTGCGGAAGACGTCCCATAAACACCTCTTTGATAATGACTTCCTTTCTAAGTGACTGAGAGTGCCAGATCAGCTATTTGTGTGTCATCTTCCTACCAGAGTTGGGCAAGTTACTCTGAAAATGTAATTAAATTACTGATTACTCCTTTTAAAAGTAATCAAGTTACTTTTCTGATTACTTTATTTCAAAAGTAATTAGTTACATTACTAGTTACGTTACTTTTTTTGTACATGCATGAAATTTACATGAAAAAGTAAGTTTTGTGTTAATAGCCACAACATTCCAGCATAAATATTTGTTATTAAAACATCAACATTCACAAACCACTTTTATTTTTAACTAAATGCAAGCATAGGCTGCTGCGCACATGGTTTGGCATGGCAGAATGCCAGCAAAGGGCGCTCCGTTTATCTCAGTCTCACAAAGCTCTGTTATAAGACAATAAATATAATGAATCTTTAATAATGTTTACAATTCTTGTGTTATAATGAGAGGACTCGTGAGCACGCAAATTTCAGTGCAGCACAGGAAATCCTGCGTTTTGAGCGGTGAGTGGATTCTAACATCTCTGATTGGCCGATGCGTTCCAGAAATCAACATTGCTTAACGCTGCAAACACATTTTATAAATAGAAACTCTGCCTATGCTTGCGCCTGTTAATCGCTTTTATGTTATAATAGTTGTTCTTGTTGCTTTTGTGCAATAGATGAATAGCAATTTATTTGTTTTTAGACATTTTATGTTTAGGTATTTCTATTTTGCGGGAGTCTCGCGAATCATTTTATTCTCCTGCATCCCGCACGTGCACACACACGCACACACACACGAGTCTCTACACACTCGCCCATCAATTCTCGTCCCGCGCGGCTCTGTTGCGTCTGTCCCACGGGAGAGCAGGTCTCTAATTCTCATTCTGTCTGCAATGATGTAACGCAGCGGTAACGCACAGAGACCTCAGCTTGGAACTATAATCTGATTACTACTTTGGAAATTATAACGCATTAAATTACTTTGTTACTAAAAAAGTAATAAAATTACAGTAACTCATTACTAAGTAATGCGGTACTGCCCAACACTGCTTCCTACACACACACACACACACAAATGTTACATTTGAAATGGATTACTTGCTTACTGCATACTGCCAACTATTTCTTTAAATAAAATTTGAAACCATATCATGCAACTATAAACATTTTTAAACAGTATTAAGCCACATTGTTTCACATGACCGCACCAGTTTGCATCATTTAAGAAAAAAGTTTAAGAAAAAAAAAAGATATTACACCTGATTCAATTATTGCAGGAAATCAAGTTAAACACATTGCATTATGGATACAATAATTAGGGTAGTGCACAGTTTTAAACCAATAAATATTTATTTTACATATTTATATTAATTATCTTTGAAAGGAATACTTGTTAAAATGCAACAAGTTAAAAATGCAACTAAAAATTTATTTAAGAATAAAATGTTAAACTAAAATCAAGTGAATTTATGTCCCACAACATTATAATGCACAGTATGAAAAATGGATATTCATTTTAATATTTGTTAAATATTACATTTAACAGTGTTAATAAATAATTTGTGCTTTTAAAGATTTACAAAAATAGGGGAAATTAGCATGCATAATTAATTATCCAAAATCAAGCGATACAGATAAGTTTAAAGAAACCAGTAACTGATAATGTACCAATTTTGTGCATTCTTAAAGCAATTCACATGCATTTGGTACATACTGTATACTGCAGAAACAGTATGCATAGTATGCTACCTTGCTATTTCACACATAGCCACTGACTTCCTAACCACACTGACTCGCAACTCTGAGCAAGAACTCAAAAACAGACAGACACACACCAAATGCAAAGTTTCCACAATAACACAAACCCAAAATAATCAATAAAATGATGTTTGAAAATGAAATGAAAGACATAAATTAAATGTGGGCCTAATAATGAGAGCTAACGATGGATAGAGAAAATGAGGAAATGAGCAAAGGGATGCATGCCGCTCTCAGTGGGACAGGAAGACGGGAAGGTTTTAATGAACAAGAGACTGTGGGGCCGAAAGCAGAGTAAACGCAGGGGACCAAGATAGAGACGGCCTGACTGTAATTACAGAGTTGTAAAATCCAAGAAACGCACATACAATTTGCTTCATTAAAATACAGGGACTCCAATAATACAAACTCACCTTGTCTCCCTCACTGTCCATGTCCAGGGATCGTGGGCGGAGCTTGATGGGCTGGTCTTTGAAGATGTCCCCAAAGCCGAACCCCCGAACCTTTTTGGGCTGAATCTCAGAGCTGGAGGACACACTGCCAGTATCAGACCGTAAACTACTGGATTCGCCGCCATCACTCTCTGAGCCGGTGCTGTCCTTTATACCTGCAGATACACAAACACGTTTCAAAGGAGGACTTGAGTATTTGCATACAGCCTTTGCATGCAGCATTCTTCACAGCTGAACTGTTAGAGTCCCAAAAGAGTCCATCTGTCCTTGCCAAGAGTGCTGTGTAGGTCTGTCACAATAGTAAAAGCTCATTAGGTCAGTGATAAATGATTGGGACCATTAGCATATTAATTTTAGCTGTGACATTGAAATTGACTTTGTGAAAATTTTCTGGTATTGGTATTATGGGTTCAATGTAACAGCTTAAAAGAATATGGTAATTAACAGGAATTTATTTGAAAAATAATAATATAAATAATCAATAAATAAGTTCAAAATTCTGGGTTCAGTAAGATTTTTTTTTTATGAAAGGAATACATTTATTAAGCAATGAAGCATTTAAAGGATTAAGAGTAACAGTAAAGAGATTAATATTGAAAAGAAAATCAATAAAAAAAATTAAAAAAAATTCTTTTGAAATTTCTATTAATCAATGACTAAAAAAATCCTGTATGAAAAATGTATTAAAGTTAAAAGAATATTAAACACCACATCAGTTTTCAACATTACTACTAATAATAATTTATTCAGCATCAAATCAACATATTAGAATAATTTCTGTTTTTTTTGCCAGAAATATAAAACCGTTATTTAAAATTGTAAAAATATTTCAATAGTTGTATATGTAATAGTTTACTGTTTTTACTGTATTTTTGATCAAATAAATGCACCTTTTGTGGGCATAAGAGAAATATTTCAAAAACTTAAAAAAAAAATTCGACCCCATACTATTCAAAAGCAGTGCAAATAAAATTAATTAAAACGAAAGTACAAAAAAAAAAAATTACATTTATTAGGCTAGGGATTCTCAAATTTTTTTGTCAGCTGAACCCATTTGACCTAAAATACTTAGTTAAGTGCCTCCTGAGAATTTAAGTTAATGTTTCAATCATTTAAAAAACACATTTGCATGTTCACAGTTCTCTGTTGCTGGTTAATGGTCACATGCCATGCAACTAAACAAATAAAATATTTCATATTCTTTTAGTAAGTGTTTTGAATTGAACTGAATTGAATACTTGTAATTGGTTAAAAGCATGGGAGGAAGTGAATGGTTAAAGATGATTGTGACATAATTGGTTAGAAGTGGCTGGTTATTTTGTACAGCTTATAAGTATCTGGATGCATTTCTTCCGTGTATTAAAAATGTTTCACCACTCATCCAAATGACTTCATCAGCCGTAGGGAGGAGGTGGAGATTCCCCCACACTTAACCTCATTTCACTCTGTAACATCACAAGACTCGTAAATTACTGTGGGAGTCGCTTGCCTAATGGTGCGAATCACCATGTCATATGCGACAGGATGAAACTTTCATGTTTCACCATCTGCCTGCTTGCTGCTTTACCACATCCACAAGACAATATGTCTTCAATAAAAAGAAAAATATGCTCCAAAATAAATTCCATTCCATTTTATCATGGCCTGGATGTCTGGAAATTTTCACAGACATGTAGCTGGTAAGATGAGGAAGCAGTTTTAGTGGTCAAGTGAGTGCGGTGCAGACTGACTGGTTCGTGTGCTGCGTGTGTCGTCCTGTGGGGTCAGATCTTCAGCCTCGGCCAACAGCTCCTTGGTGAAGTTAGAGGGGAACATCCCAGATCTGCCATTGAGAAAGCCTTCCCACCATCCCTCCTCCACCTGAGCGAGCAAACACACACAGAAGTGGTTTTAAGCACTACAAATAAATTAGAGATTCTTTGAAAAAAAAAAAAAAAAAACATTATAACGTGACTAGGATGGTCATGCAGTACTCACCTCTCCCAGAACCTCAATAACATCTCCGATCTTCAGTTCTAGCTCATCTTCATTCTGCGGAGTGTAGCTAAAGGCAGCTTTGCAACGCTTTTTTCTGATTGCCTCACCTGTTTATGTGAAATACACATAGATAAATAATGATAAATAATGTTTGTAATCTTTCAAAAATTTGGGATCAGTAAGATTTGCATTGTTTTTGAAAGAAGTCTTTTATGTTCACCAAGGCTGCATTTATTTGATCAAAATACAGTAAAAACAGTAATATTGTCAAATATTTTTACCATTTAAAATAACTGTTTTCTATTTAAAATTGTAATTTTTAGCAGCCATTTCTGTCACACGATCCTTCAAAAATCATTTTAATCATTATCTAATCAAAAATCATCTATCTATCTATCAAAAGAACAGAGCAGCACTTACACATTCCAGCACTAGGTGTCGCTCTTCTCTTTAGTTTATGTTAACAATTAGCTACACAATTTGGTCCAAGACTTCTCACTAAACACACAGGCCTCTGTGGCTCATGACAACAAATAGCCTCTGACAACAGACACCCAAAGTTTCAGTTCTCAACAGAATGGAGAAACTGGGCAGCCCAGCTCTCACCTACCGATATGAATATCTTGATGACATAAAAGCACTGAGAATGCCTAAAGATTTCAATAGTCTGGACATTTCAATACATTGGAGAAAACCAATGAGACGCACATATTTTGCCTCACATTGTCTTTGAAAGTGAACATCTCTATCTGCAAAACAAATTAAAGTCACATGAACCTACACTAGCGCTGTTGTCTGAAAATCAGGTGATATAAATTGAGGGCTGTAAACAGAGCTTGTGTTCCAGAAACCTGTTGAGTATCTGTCCCATTTAAAGTAAAACAGTGAAAAAGGTATCCGGCAGATGAGTTTTTTTTTATTATAAACATATCTCTGTGACCTTATTTATTTACTTAATTGTTTAATTAGGTAAGTAATATTAATTATTTAGCAATCATACTGAAAGTCATTATTTCTTCACATGATTACACAGTATCACTAAAAATGTTGTCATTTTTATAAGATCAAAGTGTCCTATTGTTATGTTTTATCATTCTTTAATTGTGAATTTGTATTTAATTTAATTTGACAACATACCCACTTCAACTCAAATCTGACCAATTAGAGGATTCACACAGCAGCCCCAAAAAGACAATTTGTGAAGTTTCTGTAATTATCTGAGTTAGGGAAATTTAATAATGTTTAATTACGTACCATCAACCTCAGGAAGTGGTTTCTGGTCTGAGAGTAATACTGTACTTACTCTCAAAGGCCCAATCACACACACACACACACTCACACACACACACACACACACACACACCCATCATGACCAGTCTGATTGACATATTCCGGACCCGTATGGGTGACTTGGCAAATTTAAGAAGGCTTGAGTGTCTTTACAAGAGTATTTTTTGATTTAACTCTCACTCTTTTCATCTGCCAGAAGCAAACCTGAGCCAGATCTCTGTTTAATTGAATCTTGGATCGACGGAAATTATAACTGCCCCCCAAATCCTATCCTGTGAGACATGAGGGGATGTTTGTGTGGGTGTTTTGTGCTGAATAAGCACTGGACTACTTTTTGGATCAGGAACAGATCAGATACACTACCTTTCTTGGCGGGTCTGAGGCTGGGTTCTGATTTTGGGCTGGCGCTGCCATTGGACAGGTCTGATTTGGATCCGGCCAAGCTGGACTCCTTCTTCACCTCTTTTTTCGAGTCTTTCTTTATCTCCTGAAAATAGAAAAGGGGCATTTAATGCACAGAAACTCTGGAGGGAGCTCTAGTTCATTCTCATCCACTGTGTGCGTGTTAAACAGAGACAGACAGACAGAGAGGCGTGATGTAGGCCTTAGTGCAGCAAAGCAGAGAGGCACTCATTTCCTGGATGGGCCGTACAGTGACTCAGATTCAACCTCTAACACACACACACACACACACACACACAGCTTTAAAACACTTCTCCATCTGTCTGTCCGTCTGTTAGCAGAAGTAGCAGTCTGTACTGCACTTCTCTCTCCCTCCACTAGAGCTGTTAAGGCTGCGAAAATGTGGCTGGTGATTAACTGTAATACAAATAATTGTGATTAATAATTTAATTGTCTATTTTGCTCATGTCAGTTTAATACACATGAAGAAGTCCACATTGAACTGGCTTTGTAAAAACGGCTTTGTAAAAACCATAGTTCTAATAATATTAAATATGAAAAAATATGAATATTAACATTTTAAATAATAATAGTAATAACAGCAATACTAAAAATATAAACTTCAAATAATATTTTCAATATTAGGTATATATTTTAAATAGAATATTAATTATATTTTTTATTACATGAATCATAAAATAAATAAAATAAAATTTCTTTGGAATCCAGCTCACCTGAATGATACAGTATTTATTATAATTAATAAAATGCCTCATTGTCATTATTTCCTTTGTGTAATAGTAATTTGCAACAATGTCTTAAATTTGTCACTTTTACAATGCATTTTACAGTAAAGCAATCTGGTTAAACCCATTGCATAGAGGAGGTTGACCTAGTTGATTTTTAATATGCTCCTCATTCCAAATCTGCAATAATGCACTCATCTTTTCTTGACTTGGTAACCTGTAATGGTCAAAAGGGTAAGTAATTATGCAGAAGTGAACCACAAATGAATTGCATTGTATTGTAATGAACAATATGTATGCAAATCACACTGTGGACAGCAAACTGACCATTGCCTGATATGGTCTGGGGTTGTTTGGAGAGCTCATATAATACAATAAGCTATAATGATATTTTAAGTGTGCAATGATTGCTCATTCTCTCGTTCTGTTTATAGCGTGAATTTAAGGGATCTGTCTTTAAGACCTGTGCAAAGTTTAAGAGAAATGCAGAGATCTCGAGCATCTCTTGGCTCACACAGAGCTGTCATCCTTTCTCAATTTCCTGCATGTTATCTTTCTCTGCCCTCGCTGCAAGTTCTTTCTGCGTGTTTTACTCTCTCACTCACTCTGACATAGGAATAAGAACAGACTATCTGCTTGCTGGATGCTTCATACTTGCAGATCAAGTTGTCAGTCTGCAGGTGGACAATATTTAAAACAGCAACATAAATCTCAACTGCATTTTTAAGTACAGCTTAAATATTTTAAATCTGACTCATGTCTACATTTATCTTTAGCCCTTATTAAAGACCCTATAATATGAAAATAAATATATAAGGAAATATATAATGTTAAATAGATGCAATTATTTTTTCCTGTGGTGACATGCTTCCAATTGAAACAGGAAGTTAAGGCAGAACATATTCAAGGGCTTGTCTTTTATTTTAAATAGTTTAATTTGTCCAACAATCCATAAGAGAAATGGCATTTTCAAGCCATTTGCAATTTTACAAAAGCAGATTTTGATTTTTAACATAAAAACAAGGTCTATGGTTAACATTACTTGTAGAACAAAATGTGACAGTCCTTTCAACAAAGATAATCAGTATTTTTTGGGTCCATTTCTTATTAATTTAAAATATGTAATAGCTATAAGTTAATTTATCAACATTTAGAAGTGTATAAAAACATAGATGGCTTTAAAGCTATTAGATATCGACTACACACCATACATTTCCAATTTTGGATTCACATGGTCATGGTTTTTTCATTTCATACATGTTTACAAAGTCCAAGAAATATATATATATATTTTTTAAACTAATTAAAATGGGAAGACTTATCGTAACACACAAACCAGGAAGTGTCTCTCACACAGGAAAATGTGATTTTCTTTTCTGTGCAGAAATATTAAATTTAAAAGTTATCAGCCAGGGAATAAAATAAGGTTACAGTAGTTAGCTCTCTTTATGTCGACTGTGTGAGTGTGTGAGAGAGAGATAAACTGAAGGGGAGAGAGAGCGGTGAACAGTCTAGGCATGAAACGAGAATGTAGCACTGAAAATGTGTGCATTCAGAAAGGATATTCAAGCATACTAATTGTGTGTTTCATCATGCATTTAAAATCCGCTAAGCAGACCAATCACATGCACAAGAACTTTAATATAGACCACAAGATTCTCCTGATATTAGGCAATTTGATGTCAATGTTTTGTATAGTGAAGAAGTCATTAACAGGGATGCACATATGTTTTTCAGTCTGGTTCTCATGAAAGCATCTGGAGATTTGGTTTGGTGTTCACACTGCACAGTGTGACCCATTAAATATAACTATAAATAAAATAAATAATAATAGCAATTAATAGTATTATTGAACTCATTTTTTAAATAAAATAATAAACAAAATAATAATTAAAATGTGTGAAAATACATTTATATTTTAAAATAAAGTGAGTATTAAAAAATGATTTTATAGCACACTTAAATACAATACTAATATTTCCATTTCCATTTTCTTTCATTTCTTTATTACTTTGCTTTTTTTCTTCTTCTTTATTTTATCTGAATTTTCATCATTTTTAAACCTAAAATCAGCAAGTTTTTTTTTATTTTGGCGGGTTTCCGGCAAGCAAGTAGGATATACACTGCTGGTTTTAGCGCTGCCAAGTGGAGCGCGTCAGTGAATGAAATGTCAAAGTTTTGCATTTTAATCTGAAACCGGCAGGATATAGCCTAGATATATGCCTTCAGTTCTAATAGAAATAATATAGCTGCAAGCAGCAATTACTGAGCCCATTAGTGGTCTTCCACTGCCATCTAGTGGTTATAATTGCAATTTCTCATACAACTATTTTTAACCTTTACAACTATTATAGTGTTATTTTTTTTGCCCAATCACTCTTAAATTTTACATGCTTGTTTAAAATGAAATTATGCATCGTTTTACACAGTTTTGAGAGCTATTGTGGGCTTTATTTTAGGATTTATAGGCCTTTGGGTACACTATGTAAAGAACATATTATAAAATGACCAGTTTATAGTTGTCCAAATGCAAATGTTCAACATTTTTTTGATAATTATTGACCCAGAGAGTCTAGAGAATAGTACTGCACTGATTTGATTGCTTTTGAGTTAAAAACTGAGGACTAGTTCACAAAAGTAGGTTTTTAAAATAATCTCAAATATTTAATGACCAGTTTGATTGACAGCATTGGTCCCAGAGGTAAAGTTGTTCAGAATGAGGAGATCTATCATATGATATGAAGATGTTCGTGTATATATATGAGAATTTTTTAGCAATTTGAGGCCATTTACCATTCAAATCTTGTGTTTTTGAAGTCGTTTTAACTGTTATTGCGCCACCTATGGTCCGATCTCCATGAAACTTTGCATGCTTGTTA